TGTCACAGCGGTCCTATACTTGTGACAGGCAGGAGCGACCCTCCAAGACCATGTCACAGTGGTCCAGTAGTTGTGACATTCAGGAGCGACCCTCCAAGACCATGTCACAGTGATCCAGTAGTTGTGACAGGCAGGAGCGACCATCCAAGACCATGTCACAGTGGCCCAGTAGTTGTGACAGGCAGGAGCGACCCTCCAAGACCATGTCACAGTGGTCCAGTAGTTGTGATAGGCAGGAGCGACCCTCCAAGACCATGTCACAGTGGTCCAGTAGTTGCGACAGGCAGGAGCGACCCTCCAAGACCATGTCACAGTGGTCCAGTAGTTGTGACAGGCAGGAGCGACCCTCCAAGACCATGTCACAGTGGTCCAGTAGTTGTGACAGGCAGGAGCGACCCTCCAAGACCATGTCACAGTGGTCCAGTAGTTGTGACAGGCAGGAGCGACCCTCCAAGACCATGTCACAGTGGTCCAGTAGTTGTGACAGGCAGGAGCGACCCTCCAAGATCATGGCACAGTGGTCCAGTAGTTGTGACAGGCAGGAGCGACCTGTGGAAAATTACATTTATCTGAATGTAGCTCATTATGTACATAACAGTAAATGATAGCAAAGATAATTATTATTTATCAGTTACATAGACAAGTAGGAATTTGGGACACCTAGGTCGCAAAAATGTCCCCCTTCGATACCTCCAACTGTCTTATCCACAAGTTGCTCTAGACCTATACCCCTCAGGGAAGGTTCCTTTATGTTGGTGAGGGGCTCCTGATTTAGGGAATTGGATCTGTGCTCCAGTAACCCGAATTAAGCCTGAATGTCTTCCACATCCCTCCCAGGCGCTGTATAATCCTACGGGTTTAGCGCTTCCCCTTGATTATAATAATAATAATCTAGACCTATTAATTATTAATGAAATATACATCACCAGGAATTCTGGTAAATATATAAATTTGTGGACTGTATATTAAAAGTAATAAATAATTATATATATATATATATATATATATATATATAATATATATATATATATATATATATTATATATATACACATATACATAACAGAAGGAGAATATCTTAAAATCACTCACCAATTTGACTGGAGATTAAGGTGTATCATACTCAGAAAACCTCACTGTCTATACATGAAAATAACACTGGCCAGGTTACAAACATAACAGACTTATCTGAGGTTCCTGGAGTTGTCTTGTCCAGTCGCCTGATATCTCAAGTTATGCAGGAATGCACATCCAACAATTTCGCCTCATATTTGAGAGGTGTCAGCTCAATTTTAACCTCTAGAGCACGAAAAATTCTTCACTAACGTTTGAGTTGACCAGTTCAAACATGGCGAGTCTCGTCTGTGCAGGCGCAGGGTTTCCCATTTTCGATAACAATTTTTATTTAATACAATATAGGCCATCTATTTACCTATAAATTACCGTATTTCCGGAAAACATACAGTATTTTCCATACGACCCTCCAGGACCATGTCACAGTGGTCCGGTAGTTGTGACAGGCAGGAGCGACCCTCCAAGACCATGTCACAGTGGTCCAGTAGTTTTGACAGGCAGGAGCGACCCTCCAAGACCATGTCACAGTGGTCCGGTAGTTGTGACAGGCAGGAGCGACCCTCCAAGACCATGTCACAGTGGTCCAGTAGTTGTGACCGGCAGGAGCGACCCTCCAAGACCATGTCACAGTGGTCCGGTAGTTGTGGCAGGCAGGAGCGACCCTCCAAGACCATGTCACAGTGGTCCAGTAGTTGTGACAGGCAGGAGCGACCCTCCAAGACCATGTCACAGTGGTCCAATAGTTGTGACAGGCAGGAGCGACCCTCCAAGACCATGTCACAGTGGTCCAGTAGTTGTGACAGGCAGGAGCGACCGTCCAAGACCATGTCACAGTGGTCCAATAGTTGTGACAGGTAGGAGCGACTTGCTCTAAATCCACGTTGTCGTCTTGTCTCAACAATCAATATTTGCACCAATAACTCATTACAGTTGTGACCGGGTGTGGAAGTGTGAATTGCTCATTACACTATAATTTGTTCATGATTGTAGCCATGTATAAACGTAAGTAACCATTCTTACAGAATTCATTACCTTTGTAACTTGTGAGTTCATTACCTTTGTACCTAGTTCAGCTATCAAAACTTTGGGGGCCCAGTCCCTGGACCCATTACGTACCTCTGTAATCTGTAAATACCTTTGTAACTTGTCATGATTGTGACCAGACCTACCTGGAGTTCATTACCTTTGTAAATTGTGAGTTCATTACCTCTGTAACTTGCTCAGCTATCAAAACTTTGGAGTCCAGTCCCTGGACCAATTATGTACCTCTGTAATCTTTTGACTACTGCCCACAGGATGGGTATGGGGTGTATAATAAACATATTAAACTAACTAACTTGTGCAGGTCCTGCGAGTCCAAGTCTTGGTGATCGTGGTTTTTAGAAATCTTTCAAAGATTTTATAATGTAGAACGTTAAAGATTTCGTTCTGGCGTTCTTTATGGAGTGGGTCGATATCCGTTGTTTTTATGGAATGTGGGATGACATCTGTTGGTGAAAAAGGGTTTCTTGCAGTTCCCGATGAGCATGAAGTTCCATGAGTCTGGGGCAAAGTACATGACCATATTGTCAATACATGTATCTTCTTTAAAGTCAAGTGGAGTTAGAGTTATGTCAAAAATGTCACATTAAGAAGGTTTTCAGGCTCATTCATGAAAAGTTCAGTCAGATTGTTTATCTTAATTCTGATTAATGGCTTCCTAGACACAGTCATTCTGAGACATCAGTATTACATTGATTTCTTTGCTGTTTGTAAGTCCCATCTTGTTTAAGCAACAGCCCGATACTGGATGTGGTTTTTCCCTTGTTTTAGGCATAAGTTTATTCAGGTATACACAAATACAGTTACATAGAAAGAATAGCTGGATCTCGAAATATACAGTCACCTAATGTGGCTTTTTCTCTGTAAGTATATATAGGCACATGTACACTTGAGTACAATATATGTGGTGCTTGATTTATATCAGATTTTGCCACCGAACTGGCTAGTTTATTGTGCACCCCCTCTCAAGGGAGGTTCCTTGATGCTGGGGAAGGGTTCTTGATCCAAGGTCCCTCAAGGGAGGTTCCTTGACGCTGGGGAGGGGCTCTTGATCCAAGGTCCCTCAAGGGAGGTTCTTTGATGCTGGGAGGGGCTCTTGATCCAAGGTCCTTCAAGGGAGGTACCTTGATGCTGGGAGGGGCTCTTGATCCAAGGTCCCTCAAGGGAGGTTCCTTGACGCTGGGGAGGGGCTCTTGATCCAAGGTCCCTCAAGGGAGGTACCTTGATGCTGGGAGGGGCTCTTGATCCAAGGTCCCTCAAGGGAGGTTCCTTGATGCTGGGAGGGGCTCTTGATCCAAGGTCCTTCAAGGGAGGTACCTTGATGCTGGGAGGGGCTCTTGATCCAAGGTCCCTCAAGGGAGGTTCCTTGATGCCGGGAGGGGCTCTTGATCCAAGGTCCCTCAAGGGAGGTTCCTTGATGCTGGGAGGGGCTCTTGATCCAAGGTCCTTCAAGGGAGGTACCTTGATGCTGGGAGGGGCTCTTGATCAAAGGTCCCTCAAGGGAGGTTCCTTGATGCTGGGAGGGGCTCTTGATCCAAGGTCCCTCAAGGGAGGTTCCTTGATGCCGGGAGGGGCTCTTGATCCAAGGTCCCTCAAGGGAGGTTCCTTGATGCTGAGAGGGGCTCTTGATCCAAGGTCCTTCAAGGGATGTTCCTTGATGCTGGGAGGGGCTCTTGATCCAAGGTCCCTCAAGGGAGGTTCCTTGATGCCGGGAGGGACTCTTGATCCAAGGTCCCTCAAGGGAGGTTCCTTGATGCTGGGAGGGGCTCTTGATCCAAGGTCCTTCAAGGGAGGTTCCTTGATGCTGGGAGGGGCTCTTGATCCAAGGTCCTTCAAGGGAGGTTCCTTGATGCTGGGAGGGGCTCTTGATCCAAGGTCCCTCAAGGGAAGTTCCTTGATGCTGGGGAGGGGATCTTGATCCAAGGTCCCTCAAGAGAGGTTCCTTGACGCTGGTGAGAGGCTCTTGATCTAAGGAATTGGATCAGTGCTCCAGTTCCCTGAATTAACCCTGAATACCTTCCATCCCCCCACAGGCGCTGTATAATCCTACGGGTTTAGCGCTTCTCCGTCATTATAATAATGATATTATGAACCCACATCCTTCCTGTGGATGGTAGTGCAAGTGTGTGTGGTGTTGAATAGGTAAAACTTGGGAATTTTGGCTTAAATAACGAAATTTTTCTTGCGGAATGAGACAAGAGAAAATTTGTGTGTGCAATAATTTCACAAAAATCATTTTGAATCTAAAGAAAAAAAATATATTTAATTGTGTTTGTTTATTATTAAATTATTGTAAACTTATCTAAAATATATTTAATTGGATTAGACTTAATTAACTTGCGCTTGTTATAATAAGATCAGGTAAGTTTTCTAAGTTTTTTTGGTACAAAATTATTAATTTTTATATTAACAAAAATGAAAAAAATATATCTTTAAACGTATAAGAGAAAATTTTCGAAAAATTTAATTTTAAAAGAGTTCTTGATAATTGACCAATTGTACCTATTATTATTATTATTTATTATTATTATTATTATTATTATTATTATTATTATTATTATTATTATTATTATTATTATTATTATTATTATTATTATTATTATTATTATTATTATAAAGATTAAAGGAAAATGGACATTATTATATACTTGGAGTATAAAGTGTTATTTCTTGTTTTTGTCTTTATTTTCGAGTTTGTTATTATCAACACAATATTTTTATTTATTAAATAAGTTAAATTTGTAGTGTAAATATATAAGTTAAAAATTATAAAATTTTGAGATATATTGTTTATAATGATTGTTAGTGGATGACTGTGTTGGAGGCTGGTGTTGGAGAAGTGTTGGAGGCTGGTGTTGGAGTACTGGTGTTGGAGTACGTGTACTGGTGTTGGAGTACGTGTACTGGTGTTGGAGTACGTGTACTGGTGTTGGAGTACTGGTGTTGGAGTACGTGTACTGGTGTTGGAGTACTGGTGTTGGAGTACGTGTACTGGTGTTGGAGTACTGGTGTTGGAGTACGTGTACTGGTGTTGGAGTACGTGTACTGGTGGAGAGTTAATAATGAACACAGCAACACAAGCTTCACCACTACAAGATGTACATGGTGATGGTAGATGGTTAAGTATGGTGAGTTATTATCTCTACCTCACTCTACCTACCTCTACCTCACTCTACCTACCTCTACCTCACTCTACCTACCTCACTCTACCTACCTCTACCTCACTCTACCTACCTCACTCTACCTACCTCTACCTCACTCTACCTACCTCACTCTACCTACCTCACTCTACCTACCTCACTCTACCTACCTCACTCTACCTACCTCTACCTCACTCTACCTACCTCACTCTACCTACCTCACTCTACCTACCTCACTCTACCTACCTCTACCTCACTCTACCTACCTCACTCTACCTACATGGTGATGGTAGATGGTTAAGTATGGTGAGTTATTATCTCTACCTCACTACCTCTCCCTCACTCTCTCCCTCTCACTCCCTCCCTCACTCTCCCTCTCACTCTCCTTCACTCTCCCTCTCTCCCTCACTCTCCCTCTCACTCTCTCCCTCACTCTCTCCCTCACTCTCCCTCTCACTCTCTCCACTCTCTCCCTCACTCTCCCTCTCACTCTCTCCCTCACTCTCTCCCTCACTCTCTCCCTCACTCTCCTCTCTCTCACTCCCTCACTCTCTCCCTCACTCTCTCCCTCACTCTCCCTCTCACTCTCTCCCTCACTCTCTCCCTCACTCTCTCCCTCACTCTCTCCCTCACTCTCCCTCCCTCACTCCCTCACTCTCCCTCACTCTCTCCCTCACTCTCTCCCTCACTCTCCCTCACTCTCCCTCACTCTCCCTCCCTCACTCCCTCATTATCTCCCTCACATAATTCTCCACCTATGTACCCCAGGCAGGTCTTCTCTCACTGTACGACTCGTGTACCCGGACCTGACCTCTGGTATTTATACCTGGGGATCAACCACGCTAAATCACCTTAAACCTTAATAACCGAACAAAAATCTGCGGTGCGACTAATTACTAACTCCGGCATCAGACAACGCACTCCACCTGTTTTCGAGAGTCTTAACTTGCTTAATATACAAAATATCCACACTTACCGTGCCTACTACATTCACTGAACACTATACGGTGGTACCCCGGGATGCGAACTTAATTCGTTTGAGAAGGCTGTTCGAGTGCCGATACCGAACGAATTTGTTCCCATAAGGGATAACGTAAATTACATTAATCCGTTTCAGACCCCCAAAAATAAACTCGAACAATTATGTAAATACACTTACATAATTGTTCGAGTTTTGAGCTGTTCGTATCCCGAGGTACCACTGTACAGTGGTACCTCAAATTTTGAAGTTAGTTCTAGATTTGAAAGGTTTGAAAAGTGAAGCAATATTTCCCATAAGAAATAATGGAAATACAATTAATCCGTTCCAGAACCCAAAAATATTCCCCAAATAATACATTTTATAGAGATTAATTATAGTTTTACATACACACAACAAATGTAGTGTACAATTATGTACAGTATTAATAAATTTAAACATATAAAATAACATTTTGACTTACCTTTATTGAAGATTGGTGATGGCATCTGGAAGATTGGGAGGAGGAGAGAGGGAGTTGGGATTAGCATTTGGAAGGAGAATCCCCCTCCATGAGGACTTTAGGTATCAAAGGCTTCTCTGGGGTTACTTCCCTTCTCTGTCTTTTAACCCGTAAACGGTCCAAGCAGATCTACGTTCACACGCGTAGTGCTCCAAAAGTAGATCTACGTTTTTTTACATATTTTCAAATATAACAAAAGAAAAAGTAGATCAAAATTTTTTTACACATTTTCAAATGTAAAAAAACAAAAAGAAGATCTACGTTTTTTACATACTTTCAAATGTTGAAAAAACGTATATATACGTTTGGACCGTTTACAGGTTAATGCCACTAGGACCAGCTTGAGAGTCACTGGACCCCTGTCTCACAAAATAATTGTCCACAGTCCTCTGTTTCTGGTGCCTCTTTAACATTTCCCTAAAATGGGACATGGTTCTGTCACTGAACTTGTTGCAAAGATGGTTTGTTTCAGCTTGCTCAGGGTGGTACTTCTCCACAAACATTTGGACATCATTCCACTTGGCGCAAATATCCTTAATCTTTGAAGAAGGTGGACAGGTCCGGTACCCGGCGGTTCAAAAATAGGGGCGAGTTCGATAATAGGGACAAAGTTGGTTCGAAAAAAAAGTTGATTTTCAAAGAGTTCGATAAGCGATACGTTCGAAATTTGAGGTTCCACTGTACTCTAAACCCTCCTCTCAAACTCCTCCTTGATAACTATAACAGAACACACAGCCATAATATTAAACACAGATCACTCTTCGAAGTCCCTCATGTTCATATCTCCCTATGCAAAAACGCTATGCACGTAAAAGGCCCAAAGATCTGGAATTCATTACCAGAACACACTAAAAGACCCGTCTCTGCATATCAGTTTAAGACCCTAATAAGAAATCACCTCATCACCCAAAATTAACCAGACAAACCATACCTAACCATATTGTGCTGATGAATGCTCAACCACTTACTACTGCGAAATTACGATATCTGTGTTTCCATTGTTTTAAATAGTATTAGATTATAAAACAGTACATCATAATGTAAATTGTTCCATTGTGATACCAAATTTCATTGTTTTAAATAGTACTAAACTGTAATACATCACACTGTAAATTGTTTGAAATTATTACATTGTAATACTGTAATCTTTATTAACTAATTCAATAGTGTAATAAGTCTCTACTAGACTTATCAAAATCACACACAAAGTGGGAGTTGTCACAGCTGCTCTTTGCTGATGACACTGTGCTCTTGGGAGATTCTGAAGAGAAGTTGCAGAGATTGGTGGATGAATTTGGTAGGGTGTGCAAAAGAAGAAAATTAAAGGTGAATACAGGAAAGAGTAAGGTTATGAGGATAACAAAAAGATTAGGTGATGAAAGATTGGATATCAATTGGAGGGAGAGAGTATGGAGGAGGTGAACGTATTCAGATATTTGGGAGTGGACGTGTCAGCGGATGGGTCTATGAAAGATGAGGTGAATCATAGAATTGATGAGGGAAAAAGAGTGAGTGGTGCACTTAGGAGTCTGTGGAGACAAAGAACTTTGTCCTTGGAGGCAAAGAGGGGAATGTATGAGAGTATAGTTTTACCAACGCTCTATATGGTGTGAAGCGTGGGTGATGAATGTTGCAGCGAGGAGAAGGCTGGAGGCAGTGGAGATGTCATGTCTGAGGGCAATGTGTGGTGTGAATATAATGCAGAGAATTCGTAGTTTGGAAGTTAGGAGGAGGTGCGGGATTACCAAAAACTGTTGTCCAGAGGGCTGAGGAAGGTTGTTGAGGTGGTTCGACATGTAGAGAGAATGGAGCGAAACAGAATGACTTCAAGAGTGTATCAGTCTGTAGTGGAAGGAAGGCGGGGTAGGGGTCGGCCTAGAAAGGTTGGAGGGAGGTGTAAAGGAGGTTTTGTGTGCGAGGGGCTTGGACTTCCAGCAGGCATGCTTGAGCGTGTTTGATAGGAGTGAATGGAGACAAATGGTTTTTTAATACTTGACGTGCTGTTGGAGTGTGAGCAAAGTAACATTTATGAAGGGATTCAGGGAAACCGGCAGGCCGGACTTGAGTCCTGGAGATGGGAAGTACAGTGCCTGCACTCTGAAGGAGGGGTGTTAATGTTGCAGTTTAAAAACTGTAGTGTAAAGCACCCTTCTGGCAAGACAGTGATGGAGTGAATGATGGTGAAAGTTTTTCCTTTTTCGGGCCACCCTGCCTTGGTGGGAATCGGCCAGTGTGATAATAAAAAAAAAAAAAAAAAAATAATTTGGACATGATACATAGAAGTGCAAAGAAATACATTGGTTAAGTGTAACATGCCAAAAGCCCCTTGTATGCAGAGCATTACGGGCAGGCGTAAAATTAACTTAAGATTAACTAAACAATAACAATAAATAACAAAAAAAGGCACAATACCGTGACTGGAACGATACACAAATAACCCGCACATAAAAGAGAGAAGCTTACGACGATGTTTCGGTCCGACTTGGACCATTGACAAAGTCACACTAGGAAACAGATAACAATTAAGTACAAATGAGTACATGTATTACAAAGACAGGTCATATGGTCATTTACTGAGTTGCTGAACATTCAGTAGAATGGAGTATTCTGTTAGGTCATGTAATTAAAAAACAAAGTTTGATTGGGTCACAGGTTAAACATTTATGAGATACAATTATTCAGTATTTATTTAGTTGTGGATGAGTGATTTTTAAGAAGAGACTTGAATTTATAAACAGTGTTTCTTTTATATTCACAGGTAATGAATTCCAGATTTTTGGGCCTTTTATGTGCATTGAGTTTTTACATAGTGTGAGATGGACACGAGGAACATCAGAGAGTGATCTGTGCCTTGTGTTATGGTCATCACCTGATATAATATTCATTTCTCCTGTACTCGCTGTTACTCGTCTAATGACCACTTGAACTATGTATTATTGCCTTCCTAATCTTCAATTAATCTTTAAGTTTGCCCAAAATGCTCTACATACAAAGGGGCTTTTGGGATGTACACCCAACTATTATATTCCTCTGTATGACCACGTAACTTGTCGAAATAAACATCTTAATCTTAAGGTACCCATTTTTTACTGATGAGTGAGCATAGATAACCGGTGTAAGGAAACACCCAATGTTTCAACCCTTGTCGGGAACCAAACTCAGATCTTCAGTTGCTCAATATATGCTCTATATACGTATTAGATTTATTTTCTTTGGGAGGAAATGTTGGTCACGTTTCCTTATACAGTGGACCCCCGCTTTACGATCAGCTCCCAATGCGACCAATTATGTAAGTGTATTTATGTAAGTGCGTTTGTACGTGTATGTTTGGGGGTCTGAAATGGACTAATCTAATTCACAATATTCCTTATGGGAACAAATTCGTTCAGTACTGGCACGTGAACATACTTCTGGAATGAAATAATATCGTAAACTGGGGGTTCACTGTACTACCTGGTATCTCCATTCATCTAGCACAGTACCTTATACCTTTGACTTATGCCTTTGAAGAGTTTCGAGAGTTTATCTACTGTCTGAGCCTGGCCATGGGCCAGGCTCGTCTGGTGCTTGCCTGGTCAACCAGGCTGTTGCTGCTGGAGTTCCCAAACTTTTTTGGGCTGCCGCCCCCTTGGCTCCCAGGCCACATCCCTAGCACTGACCACACACACATGAACACACCTCTTTCTTGATATTAAGTTTACTGCAAATTCAAAATTCCTCTACACTCCCCCTGGATCTTTCTACTACCCCCAGGGGAGCAGTACTGCCTGCTTTGGGAAATTGCTGATTTAGCAGTAAGTAGGTACCTGGGTCTTAGTTGGCTGGTGTGGGTGGCATCCTGGGGGACGAGATTGAAGGACCACAACGGAAATAAAAAACTATCCTTGAAAACGCACTGACTTTCTTGGGTTATCCTGAGTGGCTAACCCTCCCCTAGGTTAAAAATCCAAACAAATCTTATCTTAAGGAATGCCATTTTTTAATTAGTTTATAAGAGTGGGGGATGGGAAGGATTGGGAAAGAATAGAGCGGCAACAACATTGTGGATAGGCAAGAAGAGATAGGTAAGAAAAGCGACTTAACCACTTTGGGTGGGTTGAATAGTTTTTATCACATGGGGGTTGATTATCTGTCAGTTCTACTTTATGTAAATTTAATTAGGTAGAATAGGTAGGCCTAAATAAACCAGTCAGAATACTTGTTGGCAAAAATGAGCCCAGCAAATAGTGTTTTCACATCTAATCACAATGAGGGACTGATTACCTCAAGCTCCTCCTCTCCTTACTCCTCTGTGCTTAGTATTGGGCTAAACAAGCCATTGTGTGGCAAAACATTTCCTTAATATAGATTCCCATATGTTGCATAAGTGTCTCAATCTTGAACTTGTCTTCATACATGCTTATGTAGATGGCAGTACAGTGGACCCCTGGTTTACGATATTATTTCATTCCAGAAGTATGTTCAGGTGCCAGTACTGAATGAATTTGTTCCCATAAGGAATATTGTGAATTAGATTAGTCCATTTCAGACCCCCAAACATACACGTACAAACGCACTTAGTTCTGTTGTTAGTAGCGGTTCCAGTTTTAACTTGTGTAAGTGTACTGGTAGAGAACAGAAAATAATTCTTTTTATTTTTTCAGCACAATAGGTTTGTGAACCAAGCACGGGAAATGGAACCCGATGTGGTGTTTGTGGGCGACTCTTTGGTTGCCAATCTTCAGTCCACTGATCTATGGGAGAAATGGTTCGCTCCGATGCATAGCCTCAATTTTGGTATCGGAGGTGACCAAACACAACATGTCCTCTGGAGACTTAAGAATGGAGAATTGGAATATATAAAACCGAAGGTGAGACGTAAATTGTAGTTGATATCATTAGATAGTTGTATCAATGATAGAGTTCTTGTGGATGAAATTTTATCTTATCTTGCTGGCTGTCTCACACTGAGGTAGGGTGACCCATAAAAGAAACACTTTTACCATGATTTGGGCATGGGCTGCTCAAACAGTCCATGCTTAAGAGCATGGACATTTGAGCATTTAAACTGTTGAAAAAAAAATAATTGAAGAGAGGAACTTGAGTGAGATGTTTGCATGTCAACAAGCTTCTTCAGTCAATACATAGGAATGTACATTAACCCTTTGAGGGTCGGTCACATACAAGTACGTCATTGCAGCCTGGGTCGGTCACGTACTTATGCGCCTAAATTCTAGCACCTTCAAATCTGGTGGAAGAAAGCTGGCAGGCCTACATATGAAAGAATGGGTCTGTATGGTCAGTGTGCGCAGTATAAAAAAAATCCCGAAGCATGCTGTGTATAATGAGAAAAAAAAACTTCAACTGTGTTTTTGGTTTAAAACAGTGACTTTCTAGTGAATTTTCATATGGTATTTATAGTTGGATTCTCGTTTCCTTGGTCTCATTTGATAGAATGGAAGATATATTACAGAATTAGAGATGGTTTTGATTGGTTTCACGATGACAAGTACCTTGAAATTGAGCTCATAGTAGCGAAAATGATCGATTTTTGCCGATATTCAAGAGTAAACAAATCAAGTCAAGCGTCCAATACATGTCAACTGGTGAGTCTAATATTCTTTCATAAGTGCGCTGATATTATTTATACCATTTTTACAATGATGCAGTAGTATACATAACAGAAAACTTTCTGGTTTCTGTGAGAATAAAAATTCAAAATGGAAAGCAAAAGTAATGTAAGAGGGGCCTGGAGACGTGTCTGATGAACAGATAAAATGTTATTTTAGTGCCACAAATGTCTGTCTTGTTTATTCTGGACCCTAATTTGAAATTGGCATCTTTTGAAATTTGTATGAAATTGCCCAAATTGCCAATTTCTGACCACTTTATTGGGTAGTGGAAATCAGTAAATGGGCAGATTCTTGAACTCAATCCATAGAACTAATGGAGTTCTAGGGAAATAGCTATGATTTTAGTCAACTGTAACGTTGGAATTGGCTGAAAATAGGGCCCAAAGTGGGCCAAATCACCAACTTGGAGACTACTAACTTTGCAAGAGCATAATTCCGTAAATTTTTTATCAAATTTCATACTTTTGGTATCATTATGATCGGAAAAAGATTCTTTATCATTTCATAAGAATTTTTTTTTTTTTTTTTTTTTTTTTTCGAAAAATTTTCGACTCTGAGAACGAGTTTGGGAGAGGGCCTCTTGACTCTCAAAGGGTTAAACAAATTTATTAAAGCACATCAAGTGGTCAGGTCTGTGAGGTCAGTAAGTTTATTTAGGCACTGGTACACAAGTACAATTATCATACATAATGTAAATTACCTAGGATAACCCCAAAAAGTCAGACGGGTCACTGTGTAAGGTGAATTGCAGTGACCTGTTTCTGTAAGGCAAGTTGTTTTATGGGTTTGGCTAAACTGAAAGCTCCCGGAGTTTGTTGGATTATATTTTCCACCTTGATTAGTGCAGTTTCCGGTCATTTCTGTCATGACTAACTGGTCATCTTTGCAGGACGTTAGGTGTGTAGTCTTGTCCCTATGTATCATTCAGGTGTTGATCATGTTGCAAGTCCTGTATGCATGCTGGTGTTACATGAACCTGTATTTCTGTCAACAACCATCACATGGAATGATGTTCACACCTAGCATTGTCTTCATTGCCTTGTCATGCCTTTGATAGTGTTGGTTGTGATAGTGGCCAAAATAATATTAACATTTGCTGATTGAACTGTCGAATGACTGAGTAATCAATTTAAATGTGTACGTTTGTTATCTTCCAAGATGATGATACACTTATTCACACCACTACATTTGTTCAAGATTGACTCGAAGGACATGAAAGTGAAGTCGAACACTTGGATTGGCCCTCACAATTGCCGTATCTAAATACAGCCTCTCCTTACTTAACGATGGAGTTCCATTTCTAAGACCACGTTGTTGAACGAATTCATCGCTAAGTGAGGAACAAGCTATAATAGTAGTTAGTGTCAACCATCAGCTCTGATATACATTATTTAGGTATACATACTGATCAGAGAGCCTGTCATAAGCCAGAGTCATCGATAAACGAATACGTCGCTAAGTGAGGAGTGGCTGTAATTGCCTTTGCGCCCTCAAAAAGTCGAAATATCACAAGTCGAATCAATGTGAGTCGAGGAGCACCTGTAATATACGTATTTTGGAATTACCATTTTGTAGGGGGTAAAATCTTGTTGTTCGGGCACTCAGTGAGATACAGTCATCACAAAACTTTACATTAATAATTTTTTAGCCCAAAAACACAATGAAGAGGAGGGGCAAGAGACATTCAGAAATACGTACAGTTTCGATCCCTTTTATTTGCCGGGTCACTATCTGGAATAGACCTGGGCCGGTAAATGTACCAGTGAATATTGAAGGAGTATCCATTTTATGATGAATGACTGTTCCATTACAGGCTGTTGTGGTATTAGTGGGGACCAATAACCATGACCATTCAGCAGATGAAGTTGCTGAAGGCATCACAGAAATATTCCAGGCAATTAGGGAAAAGCAGCCACAAGCATATATAGTTATTCTTGTAAGTACTGGTAATTTGGTATGTTGTTTTGTTGTTAGTCCCACTATGACATACAAGTGAAAAACATAGTTTGTGTGAGTAGTGATATAACTTGTATTATGTTAGCAGGTTCAGTGAAATCAATGGTGATATGAAAAAGACCTGGAACACAATTAAATCCTGGGCTCTTGAAAATTGACCAAAACCAGCGATATTGTCCTAATTGAATTCAATGAACCTTACATCTATCCTGCTGAAACAGCCAATACATAAAATTTCTTCTCTACCATAGGATCAAGTCCAATTAGCAAAATCCCAAGTAGTACCAATGCTCCAGCGAGTGACTACCTTGCTGGAAGTTTTCCAAACTCCCTCTATGTGGCTTCAACTAATCCTACTGAGGTCCCTTCGATAATAAATTCACTGAAAAACAAATCAGGAAACTTAGCTCATGTATCACTACTATTGTTCAAAAGAACAAAATGTGCTTTCATTTACCATTGCAATATTGTTCAACAAATCATTGGAAACCAACACATTCCTGACAATCTGAGATAGCAAGGGTCACCCCAATACATAAATGAGGAAACCCAATTAACATAAATAGCTGTAGACCTGTATTTAACTTGCCATTGTTATCCAAAAATCTTCAAAATATTAATCCACAGATTATACTCTTTTCTAGAATCGCTCAATATACTCATCCCTTGCGAGTTTGGTTTTAGGCCAAATAAAAATGCAAACGATGCAATTATAAAAATGCTACACTTCTCTTTGCAACTCTTGGAAATAATGAATATCCTCTGGGATTCTGTAGAGACCTTAGGAAAGCTTTTGATACAGTAGACCACAACATCCTACATCTTAAACTAAAATATTATGGTGTCGGAGTTCATTCACTAGCATATTTAAAGTCCTACCTTAACAACGGACACAAATATGTCTCCATCAAGGGCATAACCTCATCAACACATCCTATAGACACGGGTGTCCCAAGGCAGTATTCTTGGCTCTCTGCTTTTCCTCATTTACATCAGTGATCATGTACTCACTGTAGCTACTACTAAACAATGATCCGACATATTTCTTGCCCCTCTAAAACCAAGTTGACGTTGGCCAAGGGAACTGGATCTGTGCTCCAGTTCCCTGAATTAAGCCTGAATACCTTCCACATCCCCTCCCACATGCGCTGCATAATCCTATGGGTTTAGCCCTCCCCCTTGATTATAATAATAATAATTTAAAACCAAGCATATCCAAAAGTCTACCCACAAACTCTTACTATATCTACTAATACATAATTTAGTGCTCTATATATATCTTCTATGCTTATTTATCCTCTTTTTCTTAAAATCAGTATTGCTTAATAATAAATATTTATATATAATTCAGTTAGAGGCCCCCCTACCCTTTTTAATAATTCTGACTCTCCAAATTTACTTACTATGCCATACACAATAGTTTCTCCCATTTTAGCATTTAGGTTCCCCACAACAATTGTAAAATCCCCTCAACATTTGCTTAACACTTTTCCTCAAAACTCTCATACCCAAGTGCAAAAAATACTCAAATTGTTTCACGAGATGAGTTTAGATTCCATTTGTAAAAAGTATGTACAAGCATACCTCATTAATGTGGTGCACGCTTTTGGTTATATTTCCATTTTTGGTTATATTTCCATTTTTGGTTATATTTCCATTTTTGGTTATATTTCCATTTATTTTGAGCACCTGCCTTGCTCTTAAAATTGTTTTTCAACAGTTTTCAATTTTTTTTTTATTAGCTTTACTTTTGCATTTTTTAGGCCTAGTGCTATTACATACATGTACTTTGTAAATGATAGTGAAAACATGTTTTTAGGCTTTTATATGCACTGGTAAGTGGAAAGAAAAAGGCTGTGATTTGCTATAAAGTGATATTAGCTTTACGACAGCAATCTGGAATTTAACCTACGGTATTAGTGAGGCATGTTCGTATAACATAATACTGGAAGTTAAAAATATATACCATTTCATTGATAGGTTGTATATAGCTTAGTAGGAAAAGATGGAAACATCTGTCAAAGAATTTTTTTTCTAAAAATTGCATTTTTTCCAGACACTTTTACCTCGAGGAGAGAAACCCAATCCTCTGCGTGAGAAGAACAGTGAAGTCAATGTTCTCATAAAGGAAGCTCTGCGCCAGGCTGACCTGTGTCAGGTTACTATTATCTTATTCATGGTATACAGTGGACCCCCGGTTAACGATATTTTTTAATTCCAGAAGTATGTTCAGGTGCCAGTACTGACCGAATTTGTTCCCATAAGGAATATTGTGAAGTAGATTAGTCCATTTCAGACCCCCAAACATACACGTACAAATGCATTTACATAAGTACACTTACATAATTGGTCGCATTGGGAGGTGATCGTTAAGCGGGGGTCCACTATATTGTAAGAATCTTCACTTCTCATGCTGCTGCTTATTTGTATTTTAACAGTGTTTAACATTTAAAATGTGCTTCTCTTGCCTCTTCTTCGAATTCCTTTGAAGGTGTGTGTGTGTAAGCACATGAAAGCACTCAGGGTTTTTTTCCTCTTTTCACTGTGGCATTTTTACATATTTGCAGTCGTCCGTTTTATTGTGATTTCTTCCATGCATTAATATATTTTGTATGTTGCAATATGATGCAGTTCTAAGTTTGTTCATCATATTTTCGCAGGTGGTTAATATTGATCGTGACCTTGTCTTAAGTGATGGGACAATAGATCACCGAGACATGTACGACTACTTGCATCTGACATCTCAGGGTTACCGGCGTGCCTTTGAGCCTGTCTATATGCTTTTGACCAATTTATTGCATGAAAATGATACAGCACTGCTCAACGATGCTGCACTTGCATCGCCAGCATCAGATAATCCCCCAGCAGACAACCGTGGAACTTGTGTCGAGTAGTTTGTATACTGCACTGATCAACTCACTCAGCCATTTAGCACCACTTCCCAAGTTCCTTGGCAACCTTAATCATGGTAGCATATCTTTCAGACATTCTTCTCACAAAATGTTGCTATGCACTAGTGATACATATGTGCATTTCTGCTTGTCTGGTCTGCCTTCTCCACCAATATCTCTCGCAAGGTAATTACTTTTTTAATTTTATCCATCAACTGATTTTCTTAATTTATTTTGGAAGTCTTGATGAAGGACCCAAGTTACACACAGCTTTGCTTAATGTTCGATGTGATCTCTAAAGATCCTCATTGTATTGTGTTTTGAAAGTGACACATACATTAAAATTTACATTATTAGCATCTCGTATATGCTTTTTTTTTTTTTTTTTTTTTTACTCAAGTCAGATTTTTTCATGTTACAGTTTTTCTTTTAATGCTTCTATGAAATTTGTATTCATTTATATACAACCTTTTCATCACGGATACTGTACACTACTGTTTATTATTGTTCAATATGGACAAACTTTGCAAATTTAACTTAAATATTCCCTACAAACATTTTTCAGCAAAATCTCAAATTTCAAAATAATGAGAATTAAATTACTGGTAAATTATGCATCTCTAATAATAAGCAGAAGACACTAATCTTGTATAAGAGCAAATATAGGATTGGTTTTGATTTGATCCACTGACGACATGATAAAGTTTAAGACAACCAAAGTTCTGATCAATATACTATACATAAGTCTGTGCATTTTCTCAGTAAAATATCTGTTAGAAGGTAAAATAATTTGAGGTGTGTAACTGTTCATATTTACTTTCCACTGACATAATATTCTTTACAACAGAAGAAAAAGGTTGTGTAGGCTATTAATTATTATTAAAACTGTGTGAAGCTGAAAATTCAGAAAGTATTTGTGTTCACAATCCATTTGAAATTAGAAACTGTTCAAACATTATTTGAATATTATAGAAATGCAAAACAAAAAAATGGTAATTTCTTGTACATATGGAGTGTGAGTAAAGCAGCATTTATGAAGGTATTCAGGGAAACCAGTTAGCCAGACTTGAGTCCTGGAGGTGGGACATACAGTGTCTGCACTCTGAAGGACAGCTGGAGATATGTTAAAAGTTTTTGAACTAGTATCAGCATGCCTCTGGCAACACAGTGATGGAGTGAGTGACAAGTGTGTTTTCTTTTTTGGGTCGCCCTACCTTGGTAGGAAACGGCCAATATGTTAAGAGAGAAATAAACGCAGCTTATAGAGTGGAAGCAGCATGTTATGCTAGAGGTTGTCGGGGTATACTAAGGCAGCCAACACTGGGCTTGTGAAGGACAATTCATTCCTAAAAACCAAAGTTTAGAACAGAAGGACTTGCTAATCCTGTTCTTGTGATACATTTTAAGTGATCTTATTGTCATTATTTAAACTTTTTTTAATATTCTAGTTATTTATACATTGGTATTTTCTCAGTTCACTTTCATTGTGCAGCTGTTTGTGTATATGTATGCATGCATGTATATTGTATAGATTTTTTAACTTAATTATTTTTTAATTAATATTTTTTAAATAGTTAGTTATCATGGGTTAAAAGGTTATGATTGTTTTATCAGTTCACACATTACAAATTAATATATTAAATTAAGGGTATACAATAATAAGCTTATGCTGACCTGAGATAAGTTGGGTAAGATTAATTTAAATTATATCATGTTAATTTTAGGAAGGTTAGAATATGTTAATGAGTTACTTTTGGTGCAAAATATATTTTTTTATGCCATGATAACTTATCTATGTTTATTTGTGCATGAAAGAGAATTTTCACAAAAGTTTTATGTTTAGGGCAGTGCAGCTCATATATATGACGTATGTACATGACATGAATGGTATACAGTACTGACGCGAGGAAGAATTAAACACGTGCAGCATCTGGGTATCTCTACTTGTAAACATTTCACCATCCAGTGACTATCATTATAAATTAAAGGACATAATGGGAAGATGGTAGAACCGTATGTAAAAAATACGAGTGATCAGTGAGTGAGAGTCTGGGAAGAGTAATAAAGTGAACATACTTAAATTCTAAAAAGGAAATTTAAAAGAAAGCAGGATAAGCCATTGACCTCACTTACTGTGTGAAGTGTCTCCTTCTCTCACCCCTAACCACTCACCACTGATCTCCCCACCCAGCACTTACTACCCACTGCCCGCTTCCCATAAATACCCAATGCCCTTAAACTACCCACCACCCATGAACTACCCACAGACCACCCACTGCCCATAAACCACCCAGGATAGTATAAAGAAAAGTGAGGATGGCCAGAAATAAGATCTCTTGTGTATGTGAAAAATTTTTTAGAAGAAACATTAGGGGCATTGATTATGAAATATGTAGAACGTCTCATGCATCACGTACAAAGCTTAATTCAGCCACCAGAAATGACCTAAAACAAGAAAGATGTTTCTGGACTTGCCCCATTGAGATGGAAACCTGGTCAGGCATAAGGGAAGTATTAAAAAGTGAAAACCTAGAAAGCATAAGAAAGTTTCTAAGGAGCTTGCCAGATATATACAAAGAGTGGGAAAAAAAAAGGTAGGGAACAGGGGGAGGAGGAAAATGAAAATAAAGGTAAAGACCAAGGAGCTGAAACAAGGGTGGAAAATGTCATTCAGGAAGTCAGAAAAGACCAAAAAATGGGTGTATGACATAGGAAAAAGGGAAGGGAAGAAGAGAAATTTATAGTAGGAATAGATGAAAGAAAACAAGAGAATACAGATCAGGTGGCAGAACTTGGGCAAGATTCAGACTCAGTAAATGTAGGTAAATATAGGGAGAACATGCTGGAATAAACACAATAGAAAATGTATGAACGTGTTGAGAAATGGAAAGTGTTGCTTTTACAAAGAGTGCAGCAGGTACTTCCACCCAGTGATGTGCAAAGCTTCAACACAGTCCAGAGAATGTTATAACCTGAACTGCCCAGACCATCATGTAAAAGGAATGCCGTGCTACAGAGAAATGGAAAATGAGCAGCAGTCTTTTGTAGACAGAAACGATTGTACCAAAGAAAGAGGCAAAATGGGGAAATGGGACAGAGGGACACAACACTGGGACATACCAAGCCAGGCATCAGCTCATCAGGGTTGAATATACAGTCAAATGCAAAATCAGTATTGGAGAAATCAGGGGTATGTCCACCAGGGGCCATACCAGGTAGTACATCACCAGTGATACTAACTAAACACACAGCAAAACAAAACATCCCAGATGGTAAATCCTGCTTCCTCTTTGCAAACACTCGAGGTTTGAAATAAAATAAAAACGAAAAGTTAGTTATATTAGTGGGTTCCTCTCAGAAGCGAATGTTTGGAACATTTACAGAAACACACACAAGGAATGTTTTGGATGGAGCGATAAAGATAAAAACCCATAACATGTATTGATGTGATAGAATTAATAGGTCACAGGGAGGATTAGGACTATGTGAAAGATTCTTTCAATTGCACAGAATTGCTGAATTCTATGAATGATATAGTAGAAATTCTAGGTATTAAAGATGAAAATAGGAATTTGGGAATTTTTTCTTCTTTCAGTATGCTGGCCATATCCCACTGAGGCAGGGTGGCCATATCCCACTGAGGCAGGGTGGCCATATCCCACTGAGGCAGGGTGGCCATATCCCACTGAGGCAGGGTGGCCATATCCCACTGAGGCAGGGTGGCCATATCCCACTGAGGCAGGGTGGCCATATCCCACTGAGGCAGGGTGGCCATATCCCACTGAGGCAGGGTGGCCATCTCCCACTGAGGCAGGGTGGCCATATCCCACTGAGGCAGGGTGGCCATATCCCACTGAGGCAGGGTGGCCATATCCCACTGAGGCAGGGTGGCCATATCCCACTGAGGCAGGGTGGCCATATCCCACTGAGGCAGGGTGGCCATATCCCACTGAGGCAGGGTGGCCATATCCCACTGAGGCAGGGTGGCCATATCCCACTGAGGCAGGGTGGCCATATCCCACTGAGGCAGGGTGGCCATATCCCACTGAGGCAGGGTGGCCATATCCCACTGAGGCAGGGTGGCCATATCCTACTGAGGCAGGGTGGCCATATCCCACTGAGGCAGGGTGGCCATATCCCACTGAGGCAGGGTGGCCATATCCCACTGAGGCAGGGTGGCCATATCCCACTGAGGCAGGGTGGCCATATCCCACTGAGGCAGGGTGGCCATCTCCCCCCCCCCAAAAAAAAAAAAGTTTCTCTTTTTGAATTTTGTAATATATACAGGAGAAGGGGTTACTAGCCCCCTTGCTTCCAGCATTTAAGTCGCCTCTTATGATACACATGGCTTATGGAGGAAGAATTCTGTTCTACTTCCCCATGGAGAAATTTGGCAATTATCCTAGTACTACGTATATAAACCACCATCAGCAACTGCTGAGGAATTCACAAATCAGTTAAGGAAGATAGATAGCTGTCTGGATAGGCTAGAATTATCCCACACCAAATATTATACTCCTTGGAGATTTTAATCTCTCACACATAAAATGGAAGATAGCTCATTGCAACGTTATACCAGAAATATCTCCTTGAAGCACCCTGGCTCAACAGGTACTAATGAGGCTTTGTGTAAAGTACTCGTTGAAGCAACAGATAACTGATCCCACTAGAAATGAAAATGCCAGATTTGATATTCACAAACAGCGAGGACTAATCAGACACACAACAATTACAAAAACAATATACTCTGACCACAACATCATTGAAGTACAGACGAGTATTAACTGAGGGTTAGGGAACTGCAGCACTAATGTAAGAGAAGGGTTGTTTAATTTCAACAACCATAGAATTGACTGGGAAAAAATGAACCAAGAGCTATCAGACATATCCTGGGAGTCAGACATTAACACCCTAAATCTCCACCAGTACCTACAGAGGCTGAATATAGAAGCATACGAGGTCTGTGTTAAACACATACTATTCAGAGAGCCCAGAAGATCAAATATATAAAGAGAGAGAGTGTAGGAGATCATACAGAAAAAGAAAATGGGTTACTGAATTGCTTAAAAACAAATGTGCTGCAACAGAGAAAAGAAAACCTTAGTTGAGAGATTAATGAATTTGAGCAAAAACTTAGGATGTCATACCTAGCAGAAGAAGTACAAAGGGAACAAAAGGCCATACAGGATATTGCAAGAAACCCAAAATATTTCTATTCATGCACAAAATCCAAGCTAAGAACTACCTGTAGAATTGGACCATTATTGAGAGGAGACTCATATACCAACAGTGAACAGGAAATGAGTAAAATCCTAAAAGAGCAGTATGAGCCAGTGTTCAGCAACCCACTAAATGACAGCAAGGTAGAAAATGCAGAAACATTTTTCACTCCAGAAGAAGGCCACACAGACCAACTAACTGACATAAGCACAAGTCCCATAATTTCAAAAAAGAAATGACTAACATGCCCACTCACTCAGCACCTGGACCAGACTCATGGAATTCCTTATAAAAAAAATGGAAAGTACCAGTAGCAAGAGCCCTCAGTATTCTTTGGAGAAAGAGCTTGGATCTAGGTGAAATACTGGAGTCCTTGAAGAGTGCAGACAAAGCTCCTTTGTATAAGGGAGGTAGTAGAGCACTAGCTTAAAATTACAGACCAGTAACCCTAACTTCTCACATAAAAATCTTTGAAAGAGTGATGAGATGGCAGAATACAAATTCCTTGGAACAGCACAACCAGCATAACCCAACCCAGCATGGTTTTAGAGTTGGACGATCATGCTTTTCGCAGATGCTGAACCACTATGGCAGAATTATGGAGGCGTTAGAAGACGACCAAACTGCAGATGTGATATACATGTTTTCCAAAGGCACTTGACAAATGCAATCATGGAGTGATAGTGCACAAAATGAGGTTAGTTAGTTTAATATGTTTATTATGCACCCCATACCCATCCTGTGAGCACACAAAATGAGGGCCATAGGCATTATGGGAAAGGTAGGCAGATGGATTTTCAGGTTCCTAACACGTGCAACACCAAGGGTACTAGTAAACAACAAAATCCAGCATCAGCAGGGTAAAAAGCTCAGTTCTGCAAGGCACCGTCCTGGCACCTCTGCTGTGTCTCATCCTCATAGCAGACATAGATAAGAACACCTGTCACAGTTTTGTATCATTTTCAGATGACACTAAAATAGGCATAAAAGTCATTACAGTAGAAGACACTGAAAAATTACAGGAAGACATAATCAGGGTTTTTCAGTGAGCAGTGGTGGGCAACATGACGTTCAATTGTGATAAGTTCCAGCTGCTTAGGTATGGAAAGAATGAAGAACTCAGAAGGAACACTGCATACAAAACTCAAGACAATCACCAGATAGAACGAAAGGAACACATAAAAGACTTGGGAATAATTATGTCTGGTGATCTTTCTTTCAAAGAACATAATAAGACAAAGATCATGACAACCAGGAGGATGATAGGGTGGGTTTTGAGAGCTTTCAAAACAAGGGAAATAATGCCAATGATGGCACTCTTCAAATTGCTAGTGCTCACTCATTTGGAATATTGCTCAGTGTTGATGGCCCTGTTCAGAGCAGGAGAAATATCAGAGCTGGAACAAATGCAGAGATCATTTACAGCTCACATAGAGCCAGTAAAGCACCTATATTACTGGGAGCACCTGAAAGTCTTAAACATGTACTCAGTGGAGTGGAGGAGAAAGAGATAAACGATAATATTTTCCTGGAAAGTAATTAGGACCTGATCCCAAATTTGCACACTGCCATAACAACATACTTGAGAGATATGGGAGGAGGTGCAACATAAACTCTGTGATGAACAGGGATGTGGTGGGGGCGATAAGGGAACGCTTTATCAACATTTATGGCCCCAGATTATTCAGCATCTTACCAGAAGATATCAGAAACATGGCTGGAACAAGTGTAGAAGCCTTCAAGAGAAAACTGGGAAAGGATCTTCACCAGGTGCCAGATCAACCAGGCTGTGATGGATATGTGGGGCAGCAACAGCCTGGTTGACCAGGCAAGCACCAGACAAGCCTGGCCAGTGGCTGGGTTCCAAGAGTAGCAAGACTCTTGAAACTCATATACATGTATATATATATATCCATCCATCCATCTATGGGGAAACAGAACAGAATTCTTCCTCCGTAAGCCATGCATGTCGTAAGAGGTGACTAACATGCTGGGAGCAAGAGGCTAGTAACCCCTTCGTTTTACCTTTTAGGCCACAATGCCTCAGTAAGATTCAGCAGGTTTGTTGAAAGAAGATAAAATATTATATTATGTATGTAATTGTTTTGGCAGTTTTAGCAGTATATATGTAGTGTATGTTGTGATATTTGTATGAATTGCATGGCTGTGAATTGCTTTATATTTTGTATGCAGTATTTATTATATAGTTTTTGTAACTATTTTGGAAGTTGTCATTGGTGCATATTATTTTTATTTTATGTAAGATGATGAATCTAGTCTCGGTGAAGTAGTTGGTTATCCTATAATGTGTGTTAAAAGTTCTGAATGAAGTTGTGTAACGTAGTGGTCATGTGCACTTGATGCTATCAAAGTTTAGTGCTCTGTAGAGATTTCGAGCACTCGGAATGCTGTGTACTTTGTGTATTCTTTCACTTTGAGACCAACATTAGGGCCACATTACATATCTGGACATAACATCACTTCATAGTGAATTTCATATATTGCTTGTTTTTCCATTACTTTAGTTAATACATTGCTATAAAAATTACTTTCAAAGATTCATTAAAATGAATTTTAGCTGAATTGAAAAGAGCACCACATGGCAACCTATGGCTAATCTTTCATAAACTTATAATGTTCATAATGTACAATCTCTCCATGCAGAAGTGGAACACAATTCTTCCTCCGTACGCCATGCGTGCCGTAAGAGGCGACTAAAATGCCAGGAGCAAGGGGCTAGTAACCCCTTCTCTTGTATACATTATTAAAGTTTATTATAATTATGGGGGAGCATTAAACCCATTGGATTATACAGCGCCTGTGGGGGGGGGGATGGAAGGTATTCAGGCCCAATTCGAACTGAAGCACAGATCCAATTCCCCTAGATCATGAGCCCCTCACCAGCATCGAAGAACCTCCCTTGAGAGGTACTAAAGTTAAAAAGAGAAACTTTTGTTTGTCTTTTTGGGCCACCCTGCCTCAGTGGTCACCCTTCCAGAGGTGTCGCTAGAGTTGGTGTCACCCGGGGCGGAATCTCTGGTGTCACCCAGGACGGCATCTTTGGTGTCACCCCCATGAAATTCAAGGGCGGGGGGATGGGGGTTGGTAAACTCCAGTTACGTCACTACTGCATGACCAGTGACATATTTAGCAATGAGAATGTTTAAGGGCCATAAACTGAACAGGAGAATACTTCTCAACTTTATTAATGATAAAATAAATAATCGTAGTAATATTGAGGAAAACTCAAATACCACTTTTAGTACAGCCAACAGATCCTACATTTATTCATCTTCAACAATGTAAAAAAACTTGAAAAATAAAGAAAAACATTGCAATATCAGAGAAACACTAGTTCCGATTTGACTTTAAGTACAGGTAACATCTCAGTGAATCTGATCTTACATTTCCTTGCCTTCAGTTATGCAAAATCATCTATCACATCATCAAAATCAATGATTTTCCCTATATAGGCTTATTTGTACTTTGTTAATGTATAATAGGCTATATAGAAACGAAGGATTCTTCTCTTAAGTTGGTGCAGCACTGTTTTGGGCATTAGTGTCACCTTTACAGGCTCTATGGTGTCACCCGGGGCACCCGGCCCCCGCCCCCCTTACGACGCCTCTGCACCCTGCCTCAATGATCACCCTGCTTCAGTGGGATATGGTTGACTTGTTGAAAGAAGAAAGAATAATTTGCAATCTAATTCAGCTTGTAGATTTCAGGTGACTATGATGTCAGCATTTGACTGGTACCTATGTATATTTTGTCCTGCAGAATCTAAAAAAATAAAATGACACTAGAAATTTGTACACAATATTTAATGCTAGCAGACAACCCAAGTGATTTCTTAGATGTTGAGAATTTACTAAGTGGTTTCAGCTTAGCACTTTTGAAAGTTGAAACAGAAAAATCATAGCACATTTTGAAATAAAGCTGCAGGATTAAATATTGAAGCTCTGAGCTCATGTGGAAACTCGAGAGAGGATGGGGGGCCAAGTGGTCTACCTGGAGGGTATTCCAGAGATCAGTTCCCCCGTGAGAGGATGGGGGACCAAGTGGTCTACCTGGAGGGTATTCCGGAGATCAGTGCCCCCGTGAGAGGATGGGGGACCAAGTGGTCTTCCTGGAGGGTATTCCGGATATCAATGCCCCCGTGAGAGGATGGGGGGCCAAGTGGTCTACCTGGAGAGTATTCTGGAGATCAATGCCCCCATGGCCCCATCCATGACCAAGCCTTCCGGTGGATCAGGGCCTGATCAATTAGGCTGTTTCTGCTGGCCACATGTAGTGACCCTACTTGGGAGTTTGCTCTACACCTACAACTGGAACATTTTGACTACACTGTGGTTTCTGCAGTCCAATACAGATTATAGGTTGGAGGCAACAGAAGTGACGAGGTAATATGATGATGTAATAAATCCATCAATCTTGTAGAAATAGTTGGAGGTTGTCAGTCCCTCAGCTTGGAGAAGAGTTCATCTCCATGGTCTGGAACAATATGAAGCTGAAGCATGAGAATGGAGTCAGAAATACTGTCGAAGGTGAGGTGGAAGATCTCAAAGACGGAGAAGGCAGGCCTGTCTGGAATTGAACCCTTTTCAGTCATGACTAGTAGTAAGTGATGAAATTGTGGAAGGTATCCTCTATACCAAGATACTGTTGTGTTGCTGTGTCTGACATATCTTGAAAATGGTACAAAATACCAGACATTTCAGCAATAAAGATTCTCAACTGCTGCACATACCTTACTCCTCAACTTGTCAATATTTTATACCATTTTGAACATTTAATACATTGTTTTGAGTCTGTCTTAGGTATGTTCAGTACTACATATATCATTATTTATATACTCACAACACAGTACTCTTAAAAGGTGAAAATAAATGGTATAAAATACCGACAATGGAAACAAACACATATGCAGTTTAATGTGATCCTTTATTGACAACGTTTCGCCCACACAGTGGGCTTTTTCCAAGTCACAAACAGATCTGATTGTGACTTGAAAAAGTCCACTGTGTGGGCGAAACATTGTCAATAAAGGATCACATTAAACTGCATATGTGTTTATGTTTCCACTTTTAAAAGGTATAGAATATTTGAAGAATTTATTGAAGTGTAAAAGTGGATGGCCAGTATAAGTAAAGGATTTACGAAGGAATTCAGGGAAACCAGTTAGCCAGACTTTAGTCCTGGAGGTGGGAACGGAGGGTGAGAATGTTGCTGTTAGAGGATAATCTAAATTGTAATGTCAGCACACCTCTGGCCAGTGATTAAATGAATGATAGTGAATATTTCTTTGGGTCACCTTGTCTTGGCAGATGTTAAGGTAAAAAACAAATAAAAAAATGAGGTTGAGTGTATCTAACAAAGGCAAAACTCAAAATAAATTTGGATAAATTCAGATTTAGAAAGTATAGGATAGTATTGGTTTGGCAGTAGTTATAAATAAGTGTAACTTAACTGCCAGTAGTGTCATTGCAGCTAAAATTTAGTTGCTTTAAAAATAGCTTAGACAGATACATAGGTGAAATGATTTTGTGGAAGTAGGGCCTTACATGAGCCAGTTGGCCTAATGTGGTGCTTCTCTTGTCTCTGATAGTCTACCAGTCTATTAAGACTAGGAGCTTATTATTACTCTTCATGGAGCCATTACATTATTTGACTGATGTAGCGACTCCCACACAGCACCAATTCTGTAAGATTGTTTTTCGAAATACAATACTTTAATCTGTTTCAATATATTTGAGAGTAAGGCTAAAGGGAAAAGGAAATATTCAGTTGGAGAAAACCTTATTCAATTTTTGTGCAGATCAAGTCACAGAACCTGACTGACTGGTGGTAATATTATGCTGTTTATTAACAGCATAATACCAACACCCAGCACAGTACTTTCTCAAATGTTGTGCAACTGTCCCTCAAAAACTAGAGTACATTTAAATAAAAGAAATAGTGCGAAAGAAATAGTGGAGAATGTTGGTGTGTGTGAGCATTCAGTGAGGAACTGGGTGCAGCATTTCAAGCCCTATGATTTGAGCTATAGTTTCAGGTGTTAAAGACTTCCTTTTACCCATAATCAAACATATATAGCCCAAAACCAAAGGGAGCACAGAACAAAAGATGGGGTGGATGCAGGACAAATATGCAACACTTCCTCTCACCACGGCAGTCACGTGAGCACTGGCAAGTTACTTTGCAGTGTGGCAGCAGGCCGAGACATCATGCTAACGGCTGCTGCCCGCCATAATGTACTAACGAAAAAAGACCCCCCTGTATGGTAAGCCCTTGATTTTCATCATGGCATTATGCCGGGGCGCTCACCCTGCATAATGTCGTGACGAGCACTGTATGTCACAGGTGAGAGACACCCAAACACCTACCTGAGAAATAATCTAAACTGGCCAGTCGGTAATCTAGTTGCTTGGTAACAGTGGTGTACTTCCCTGGCCGAGCTGTGATGACGCCGAATCGTTGACATTCTATCACCACCAACCAGTGTTCACAGATTCAGTTTTCTTTATGGTTTCTCCCCTTGGGTCAAAAAAAAAACAGAGCTGAGATGACCAGCAGCAGCCAACCTTCCATCCCCCATGTCACCAACTTGCCATCTACACAACCCCTCCCCCCCCTCCTCCCCAGTCAGTTGGAAGCACTCCCTTCCTCACATTTATATTACATTATATTAACAATTATAGGAAAATTACAAAAATTTCCACACATTTACTGCTGATTTAACTCTTGATAGAGGAGAATATTGTTTTTAGAGAAAATAAGTTTTCAGTGATCTGTGTATGAAGGATAATACTGGAATGATGTCATTTATTGCTACTGTGATAATTTAATTCATATGATGACCATATTTTAGATTACCTATACATGGCATCGAGCTTCTTACTGTACCAAGATGCTCACGGGTGTATTAGTATGTCACCTGGCAGTCCTGCATTATCAAGTTTGTGTGAGACAAATCTCATCATTAAGTGTTTTATAGTATACAGTGCAATACAGTAAACAGTATGCCACATTTACCTGAATTCTCAAATGTTTGTGAATTATGGCTTTAAATGCTCTCTTACAGTTGATTGAGATTTGTTACTTGATAGTTTAAATCCAGTTTTTCGAAGCTTAATGTTTTTGTGGATCTGCTTAAGTTTTTGTTTTCATAGCGCATCTGTCATAAGCAAAAGCGACTTACAATACATGCGTACACTTACATATGCACATGTGGACAAGTGAAAACAAAAAAGTAGGACAAAAAATTGTGTTAATAGATAAGGTGTTAGTATTACAATAGAATATTAGTTACTTAGATTGGAGGATGTATGTATTAAAAATAGTCGTTACTGCAGTAATATTTCTAGCACCTCACTTGAGCTCCATTGTCAGTGTGAAACCAAATTTAAAGTATGTTGAGATTAAGTCACATGGTAATGAATGGTTGACTGAAAATGAATGATCTACAAGGTAATGCTTATTTTTACAGTGTTAAATTTAAGCTTCACTATTACAATATTCTTTGTTAGTCTGATAATTACTAAGTTGACATGTGTTGTTGTGGGTTAGAAACCTACAAGTTGAAGAGTGAGATATTTGTGCAACATTTGGGGATCTTTCTTGAGGAAATGTTTTGCAAGCCAGTGGCTTCTTCAGCCCATTACAGAGAATGGTGAAAGATGAGAATGAGGTAATCAGTCCCTCAGCCTGGAGTCAGTGTGTTCAGTCCATCACTGACTCCAGACTGAGGGACTGATTACTTCATTATCCTCATCTTTCACCGTTCCTCTCTATAATGGACTGAAGAATCCATTGGCTGGTGAAACATTTCCCCAAGAAAGATCCCCAGGTGTTACACAAGTGTCTCAATCTTCAGCTAAGTTGACAGTCAACACTTGTTCCATTGCTCATCTCAGTTGATATTTTAGGATAAAAGTGAAACTCGTGTAATATTTAGTTCATTAATCAAACTAAACAGTTGTATTACAATTGTTTTCTCTCAACTTGAAATGAACCTCAGGGTCCATCTCAAATTATTTTTGTCTTGATGGTTATTGTAATTTACTGTTGCATGTATATTTTTTAGTTATTAATTTTGTCAAAGGTGAATATTTGCCAGCACAATTTAATTTATTATATTTGTCATTTTAAATCTTTGTTTTGATGCACCTTTGAGGCACTGAGTACATGTTTACTATCTTATATTTTAGTTTTAATGATGTAACTGAATTTGTTTAGCAGTTTTTGAAGGGATAACTATTGTACTTGAAAGACAGACTAGTGGTAACACTGCTATGCTAATCTGCCAAGACTTGTGCACATGTCTATATATTATAATTAAATTATTATACAATCAACTCATTATTTTAATATCCATTATCCCTGTATCAGTATTTTGTGGTTTAACATGTATATACATGTTAAACCACATGGGAACTTTTATTGCCTTATTTGATAATTGCCTACATACCTTTTATTTACCTTTCTACTTTTGGTAAATTGTTTGTTGATTTTACAGGGGAATATTATTTGCTACCGGAAATCTGGAAGAGCTCGAGGTGTTCTTTCCCCAGTTTTCTCTGTGCACATTTACCTAAAAGAATCTAGACTGCCATGTTGTTGGCCTTTCTATCTCTGGCTACATTCTACAAGTTAACCTCTACCTTGATGCCTTGAATGCTGTACGGCACGTCATCTGTTAAAACACCACTCCTTTGTACCATGGCCCATCTTATTAGGTAAATGATATTTTGATTGTTCTTTGTATTCTCTTGAGATCCTCTACAAGTCCAATTTTCATATTTCTGAGAAGCTCTTGCAATGGGAGATTGTCATTATTTAATTTAAGGAAGATCCCATTGTGACTTGCAGTGACCAGTTAAGTGTCTTCTTACCCCCCCCTCCTTCCCCCTTTCCTTTCTTATATACCAGGTTTCCCACTCCATGTATTAATCAATTTTCTTGACTTCCAAAGCATTTTACTTGTATTGGGCAGTAGTTCCTAAACTTCAGGATGGCAACCATTTTCTCATTGTTCTTATTTCTTCCTCCTGTGGCCGTCCTCTTTGCTGCCCACTGGGTTTAGCACTTATTAGTAAGTGGTGCAGCAAATTATTATATCAGTGTGGATTGGATGTTTCTCCTTTGCCAACTAATGACTCTTATTATTACAATCATAACTAAGCACTAAACCCACTAGGGTCATACAAGATTTCTATTAATGAGCTGTTGTATTTGTAACATTAGGAAACATACAACCCATCTACCTCCTGTTCATCCTGTCAGTTATTTGGACATGGCCAATCTGGTCAGAAATAGAAGGTCATCTTGCCCAGGTGCCCCAAAGGGATAATTTGGTCTCTGCTTTTCTCGGTCAATATCTGGAAGGCAATCCTCTCCCTCGGATTTTACCTTTTGTGTGATCAAGCCCTAATGTACCAGTTACCTCAGTTGAATTCACATTAGCCTGTCAGTGTTAACCTGTAGAAACAAGCTGATGACGCACATCCCCATGTTTCAACATTTACAGCCTTAGCCTCTCGAGGGAGGTGCGTCGATACCAGTGAGGGGCACTTCATCCAAGAAATTGGATCTATCCTCCCTTTCCTTGGATTGAACCTGATTGCCTCCCATTTCTGCAGGCACTGTATGACCCCCCTATAGGGGTTAAAGCTCCCCATGAATATAATACTATTAGCTTTACTTTCTATTGGATTTATTATACATACACACACATCGCACGTGATATAAAGTTATTGTAAAAGTCAATATAAACACATTTATCCAATAGAAATAACTTAAATACTATTTGGTTTTTCTATACACAATAACATTCAGGGCTACAGCACTGATAACATACGAGACTACAATAATTAAAAGCCTCAAATACAGGTATCAGAAGAAATCTTTGTATGAATAACAATGGGCAGTGAAGTTAATGTGTGAATAATTTCCTCTGTAGCAATTAATATATTTTGAATTTTAGGCATTTCTTTATATGCAATGAATATTCAACAATGAAGATTTTAATCTTTAATCATGTTTAATACTTTTGAGCTGGACACACATTATGCAGTAGTAAAACTATGAAGCTTATTTGTATGTGGAATTGAAATTATAAATGAACTGCACAAGGCCAATGATATTTATACTTCAAGACTAAGAAAATATCACTTTTGAGCACTCGCCCAAATCACAGAGAAAAATATACGGTAGTACTACAGTGAAACCTCGGTACTCGAACTTAATTGGTTCCAGAAGGCTGTTCGAGTGCTGATCTGTTCGAATACGGAACAAATTTTTCCCAACCGATTTTCTTTTTGGTTGGCTGTTATCACGAACCCCCTTAGGCCCCATGGTGACTTATTTATACAAATAACATAAAAAAACAACAAAAAATGTGAAGAAACATGAAATAGTTTACAGCGAACTTCTGGCAGGTCGTGTTTGTTTGGTAGAGTGCCGAGCAAACAGTCAAACCAGACAAAGCGTTCAAATACCAAATTGTTCGAGTACAGAGGTGTTCAAGCACCAGGGTTCCACTGTATCTGGTAAAATGTTACTGGGCTATTTGCCAATCAAATATAATTCTAATTTAATTATTGTTTTAGATGTAAAGTTCTATTTACATAATTTTGCAATGTGACAAGAAGTTTAATTTCTACTCAGCAATGTTATATTCTCCACAAAAAGTAACACCAATGTCAAGACCTTATTTGAAGTTTTGGAAACTGCCTCTAGATGGCATATCCCATTCATTACTCTATTCCATATACTATATAAGTAAACTACAGTAGCTATATCATTACAAATCCTCTATAAAATTAGGTGCTAGATTCTTGAGATTGCAGGTCAGTCACTGAGCCAACATCAAGATACAGTACTGACTTTTAAAGCTAAAGACTCCTGCCAATACATTCACCCTTAGCTCTATACAAAGCTGAAATTATAAACGCTTTTAGTCTACCTAGAATTGCAATGATAACATGATACCTGGAAATTTCTCAATTTACTGTAGCTGAGTTTTAGTCAAAATATAATTCAGTATCCATGTTCACATTTTAGAGGCCTAAGTGAATGGTTACAAAAGATGTAAAACAATTTCCAAGTATTAATTTCCAAACCAATTATTTTTACTTGCAATAGCAACAGATTTAGTCCACAGTAGACGAAGAAACTAAATAATATGCGTCATATACCTGAAATGCATAGTCTATCTTACGTTATCTGAAATTTAGGTTACTAATGAGCAACAATTGATACCTATTCATTGGAATTCTCTACACTGAATCACTATCAATAATTTCTCTATCTTTTCTTCCAAAGCATTGAATGCACTATGTACTCCTTCAGTTTCACAACATTTAGGATGCCTCACCACAACAAATAATGTAACTATATTGTTCATGCATTGTGGTATACCTGTCTCTCACTTGATGGTACTATGGAGCACCACATGACTAGTTGCATTTTAAGGGGCACCAGTGAGGGGTGGGCATTGCAAGTGTCAGTTAGCCTTCCTTAGGTCAAAGTCATGTTGGTAAGCATATGCCATGGCAGTGTACTCTGGCAGTGACTCTTGCATGCTAATTCACGCACCAAAGATTACAATTCATCCAACTTCACAATCTAATAAGATAAAACAGAAGTAGTCATGATACATGTTATCACACAAAGGTCTTGTTATCCAGTTTATAAATACCACCATGCATGCATTATATAACCTCTATAGTTTCAAATATTCTTGGAATACCTTTTGTACAAGGTAAAGAATCCATTAATCCACCCACCTTTATACCCTTATTTATTTTATGGTTCACCTAATTTTTCAGAGACCCACTCCAAATATCTAATTGCATCTACTTCCTCTATACCAGTCTTCTAAATTTCTCTTCAGAATCTCCCCAAAAAAACGTATAACCGGCAAAGGGCAACTATGACAACTATGGCAACTCTGACAACTCCCAACTTTTATCATTCACTGTATCTTAATTTTATATCTTTTTCCTGACACCACAACATTTATTGCTTTTACAACCCTATGTATAAATATGTTAAATAACTGTAGGGACATGATACATTCCCATCCAAGGCCAACCTTTACTGGAAAATAGCCATCCCACCTCCTATGTACCCTAACCTGAGCTTTGCTATCTACATAAAAACTCTTTACTGACATGTATCTGTACTGTATATGCATGTGTATGTATGTATGTATTTATTTAAGTGGATATATGACAGCAGCAGATCTGAGTATTCTCACAAGCTTGAAAATTTACAATTCTGCATTATAAAACTGCATCTAAATTATTTCTCTACTAAACCCATAAGCCATAGTTATCCTAACTGAAGTGCATAAACAATGAGAGGTATCTCTGTCTTTATCCATATTTATTTTAATCCCCTTACTTTGGATTAAAGTATTCTTGTTTGTGTACAGATGCAATGCCTCCTAGTTGACCCATTTGCAGCAGATAGACTTTTAAAGCTAACAAACTCTGTTATCACTAACACATTAGAAGTAATTAGTTAACCATTTTTTTTATTTTTTTACATGACCACACTGAATAATTAGTGTTTTTTGATCTCAAATGTTTGTTTTCCCAAATGGTTTTCATTATGAGCTTACATTATTGCTTCACATTGTTTTTAGGCTTAAAAATTTGTCAAGATTATTGATAAATTAAATACATGAGGAAGGGTCTTGACTCTAGAAACCCCTCGTGTGTTGCAAGGAGATGCTCAGTGTCAGCCTCAAGGTGTGACCAGAGATCAGATTACCTCTATTATACATATATTAAATTGTAAAATGTCTTATGCTCAGCTGGATCCTGCATATGTATGATAAATGACTACTGAACTATGAAGGGCTGACTGCATAAAGTTTAAGATGTCACTCTGATTATCACAGTAAAACAGCCAAATGTTGTGCGTTAGTGGAAAAAGGGTTAGAGCTTGTTCCCTTACAGTTCTTTTCCTTGCACAGTTAATGACTGTAGACTAGTACAAAAGCTACTCGGCTAACTCTTGGTGGAAGCAACTCGTGAGACATAAGTGCCCTGCGCTTTTTGGCAGTTAAAAAGCCATTTAATAACACGAGCATTCTTTTCTACAATTGATGGCTCACCAGTACCACGAAGAGGTAATGGCGGACCTGGACCAGGACCCGAGACACCCCGACCATCATCAGAGTCGGAGCTGCCTCGACGACCACCCAATGGACCAGATTCCTCAGAGGAAACCTCCTCAAAATAGACTGGCAAGGAATGTGGAGAGTTGGGTGGAGATGTTAGCTGGCGATGTGTAATGGAATCTAAACCCATAGATTCAAAGAATGCCTCTAAATCCAAAGGTGCTAAAGAGTTGTGGAGATCTTCTTCCCAACGACCACGTTCATGTGTTACATCAGATCTGGACCTGAGTATTGGTCTGCGTCTTCCCTCCTCATTATTTACCCCACTTCCAGTCCCTCCATATGCAGACACATCACTATCTGATGAACGCCGGCCATCAGTTGGCATTAGTGTTGTTGCAGATGCACCAGACCGAGTTAAGCATGGCAATGACGGTTCTCGTAGCCTTTGTGGCAGTGGTGGCCTCGCAGGAGGCCTGTCTGTAGAAAGTTCAGGGGGTGGCGGTGGGTCACGGAACATTCGGGGTGGCCGAGGTGGAGGCTCTGGAGCAATGCTGGTGGAGGGTAGTGCACCTGGACATGATGGCCTTCGACGTCCACTGGTACCACATTCAGAATCAGTTTCTCCTGCAGGAGAAGCAGCTCGATTAAGATCTGGTAAAGATTTGTGTGTAGTAACCGTAGCAGGTTCAGCTCTGTATGTGCCAGGAGGAGAAAGTTTAATTCCTCTTCGAGGAGCTGGAGGTGGTATTTTTGGCTTTACTTCAGCAGTTGGCTGTAATAATGATGCTAAATTTTCTTGAGAGTCAGTGTTGAGCAAACGGCGTAATTTCATCTGGACATTATCACTACGATCTCCAGGACCATGAGAAAGAGAACGGCGCAAGTCACCGCCACACCGCCCTCCTTGACCTTCTTGACCCCTGATTTTTGGACGGGGAGCGACACGTGGCGAGCGTGCAGGCAGAGGTGGTGGCTGAGCTCCTAAAGATGCTGGACCAGTTGAAGGTGCTGGACGTGAAGACTGTCCTGCAAGACTATGGTGATCACGTAAATTCAGAATATTGTTATGATCAGCAAGGGCATGGCGTCGCTCTGGTGCTGGTGAAGGGCGGGATATATGAAGTGTATGGGATGGAGCACTTAAGAAGATGTTTGGATTGGAGGAAATATGAAGGCGTTCAGGTCGCGCAGGAGTTTGACTGCTACCAAGTACATGGTCACTTTTGACGTATCGAGACTTGCTTTCCTGCAACAACTGAACCGCACTCTTCCCGCCGCCTCCAGCACCCCACCATCCAGGTCCCACCACCATGCCTCCCCAGCCCATCGACATTACGTCACCTGAAAAGCAAATGTTAGTATCAATTTACATAAATAATAAAACTACCTAAGGGTAGACATGATGCAATTACTTCTCTAAAAATATTATCATAAAAAAGTTCAAATAAATGGTGAATTATGGCAAAACATGACCATAATACTGGTAAGTAAAATTCAATGTTCTATTTGATAATTAAATGCCAACCATTGTCTATAATGGCTTCTTTAGGAAAAGTCAGTGATTTGTAAAATACACTGTACCTTCTTCCCCCCCCCCCCATTTTGCCTCTCTTTGTTTGCATATTTTAAACTAGCACTCGTTAATTTAATGGATTTGACAAACTCTTCCATAGGTGTATTATTACTCTAAGGGAAGAATCAGTGACTATGGAATCAATCCATTTACTCCTTGTTTGTAGCAAGTAATGATAAGTAGATACAGTGGAACCTGGGTTTTTGTATGCCTCAACTTGCATGTAAAACCACAGTTATTCTCTATAAAATGTATTTTTTGATAATATTTCCCAAAAGAAATAACGTAAATCCAATTAATTCGTTCCAGACACCCAAAAATATTAACAAAAATACATTTTATGGAGAATAACTGTGGTCTTACGTGCAAGCTGGGCGTACGAAAACCGGGGTTTAACTGTGCATGAGATGGCCCCAATGGAAGTCACTGACTTCTTCAGGTTATCCTGGGTAATCTACACGTATGCTGCTATGTGTGACAATTTATGTAACTTTACCTGTACTTGAATAAACTTGCTAAATATATAATATACTGATAGCCACAGATGCAAGACAAACAAGAGAGAAAGATGCTGTTTTACAGGTTTCCATACAAGAAAACTGAATGGTGGCAGAAAGCAATGGACAGGTGGCAAAATCAATATTTATATAAAAAAGAAGGGGTTACATTGCCATCATATGTAAAAAGAGGATATAACAGGGAAGAACTAAAACTGTCAGACCTAGAAGGAAGGAAGGAAGGACGGGCGATGCAAGCTTTCCTCCTAATCCAATGGGAAACAGAAACAATCCATCCTACATGTTCCAATTTGTAAAATATTCTTTATCTTATACCTCTGATGGGTTTACAGATTTTGTCTGCTCCCACAACCTTTTGTCTACGTAACTGAAAAACCAGCACATTATTTATTATTTTTTTAACGAACCAGCCGTATCCCACCCAGACAAGGTGGACTAAATAATGAACATAAATTTTTCTTTTTAAACTTAATAATATATACGGGAGAGAGGGTTACTAGCCCCTTACTCCTGGCATTTTAGTCATCTTTTACGACAAGCATGGCTGACAGAGGAACAATTCTCTTCCACTTTCCCATGGAGATTTGTATTATCTGTAGAATTATAATATTTTTCTTTTATTAACATATCGGCAGTTTCCCACTGAGGCAGGGTGACCTAAAAAGAAATGCTTTAATCATTCACTCCATCACTGTCTTGCCAGAGGCATGTCCACACCACAGTTAAAAAACTGCAACACATCAACACCCCTCCAAGTTGCAAGCACTGTACTTCCCAGCTAACTGGTTTCCCAGAATTCTTCATATGTGTTACCTTGCTCACACTAACAGCACGTCAAGTCATAAAAACTATTTGTCTTCACTTGCTCCTAACATGCTCATGCACAATTGCTAGAAGTTCAAGCCCTCGCACACAAAACCTCCTTTATCCCCTCCTTCCAACCTTTCCTAGGATGACCCCTACCCCACCCTCCCTCCCTCTACAGATTTATACACCCTCCAAGTCATTCTACTTTGTTCCACCCTTTATCCAAACCACTTCAACAACAACTCCTCAGTCCTCTGGATAATACTTTTAGGAACCCCGCACCTCCTTCTGATCTCCAAGCTATGGATTCTCTGCATTATATTCACACCGTACATTGCCCTCAGATACGACATCTCTACTGCCTCCAGCATTCACTGCCCATGCTTCACACCCACATGTGAGTGTTGGTACCACTATACTCTCAACCATTCCCCTCTTTGCTTCTATGGATAACATTCTTTGTCTCCACAGACTCCTCAGTGCACTACTCACCTTTTTCCCCTTATCAATTCTATGATTCACATCTTTCATAGGCCCATCTGCTGGCAAGTCCACTCCCAGATATCTGAATACATTCACTTCCTCCATACTCCCTCCCTCCAATCTGATATCCAATCTTTCATTATCTAATATTTTTTTTATACTCATCATCTTGCTCTTTCCTATGTTCACTTTTAATTTCCTTCCTTTACATACCCTTCCAAACCTCTGCATACAGTGGACCGTCACCTAACGATATTAATTGGTACCTGAGAACGAATATCATTAGGCGAGTTTTTTAGCGTTAGCCGAGGCAAAAGTTAGCGTTAAAATGTATCGTTAGGCAAATTTAACGTTATGCAATGCGTTCGTTAGGCGAGGGTCCACTATATCTCCCAAAAGCCCAGTGTCACCCACAAAAAGCAACTGTGACAACTTCCACTTTGTGTTAGATTCTTTGTCTTTTAACCCCACACCTCTTGCCAACACCCGAGCATTCACTACTCTTACAACCCCATCTATAAATATACTGAACAACCATGGTGACATCACACACCTATCTAAGAACTACTTTTGCTGGGAAATAATCTCCCTATCTCCTTCATACTCTAACCTGAGCCTCATTATCCTCGTCAAAACTCTGTTTTCCATAATCTACCTCCTATTCCAGACATTTGCAATATCTGCCACATTGCTACCCTATCATATGCCTTTTACAAATCCATAAATGCAATGAAAACCTCTTTAGCCTTATCCAAATACTGTTTACCTAAGTAAAAGAACCAACTACACCTACCATCCGACTTACGACCGAGTTCGGTTCCGAGAAACCGGTCGTAAGTCGAAATGGTCGTAAGTCAAACTTTACTACTGAATATCAACAAAACATTTTTGTAATGCCTTTATTTTATTGTTTTATTTTGGTATTTCATGTTTTACTTTACTTTTTATGTTAGTACTGTATTTTATACTGTAAGGTTTAGGATAAACACTGTGTACAACACAAATAGTTGTTTGTTTCCCAGAAATTTGGCATAAAAAACACAGTCGTAAGTCGAGTGGTCGTAAGTCGAGCAGGTTGTAAGTCGGATGGTAGGTGTATTCAAAAACTATATCCCCACCTACTTTTAAATTTCTGTCTTTATTCCAATATTTTTATATTTAATTTTAGTAATGCTTACTTAATTCCTCTGAGTCCACCTCAGCCTGTCCTACCCTCAACTAAAAAAGTCACAAATGGAATCAGTGTTAAATAAGACTTTTGGCCAGGAGGGCAGCTAGAGTGAGCACATCAAGGCTCTGAAAATGTTAAGAGTCCATTCTTTCTGCTCTGATAGACAGGACATTCTATCTGTGTGGTAAACCTGTTAGAGATACCTGGTAGCCCTCACACAGAGTAAGGCGCTGGGCATTTTTCCACGTGATATGTGAATTCTGTATGTCAGACTTGTAAAAATGTGAGTGCAGTTTTCCATGTCCTACTGGGATGGAAAAATCATGGCCCTGAACCCAATAACAATTTGATGGAAAGCAATTCGTTATCCTTTAATTCAGACAAATGCTGTTGCCAGTGATTGTGGAATCAATGACACAATCTGGAAAAGTCTGAGAAGGGACACCCCTGAGGGAGATTGACAGATTATGAATAGTGGATTAAGTGGCTGAGAGCACATAGAAAAGTGTGTCCAAGGACCCAGCAAAAAATTATTTCTCTGTGCTTGATGGAAATGCAAGATAACCACCATTGGATACAAAGTACAATGGGAGTCTGCAACAACAATGAATGAGGAGGTGTACTGCATATGACAGGAAGAAGTATTTTTGTGTAAAAATCTAAGAGGAGAGCTACAGATATTTATTTCTGTTTCATTCTTAGTTAAATTGTAGTCTATCTCATCCTGACTTAAGAGATTTCTGGCATCTGGCTTGTGTCACACTAGCACATCAATGTCTTGTTATATCTCATGGTGTGTAGAGAGCTTAGAATAAAATAATTATGCCTGATACAACTAGCATTATGTTAGTGCATTTAATAAAAGATAAGTTTTATTCAGGAAAGCTGAAAGGATTTTACAAATACAGCCTCTCCTCACTTAGCAACATACTCGTTTACCGACGCCTCGGACTTACAACGGGCTCTCTGACCAGTATGCATAAGTAAATAATGTTTATTAGAGCTGGTTTCCTCTATTCTGTTTATCACAATATACAGTACACTACTGTATAAACAGGTGACATTAAAATATCAAAGATGGTTGACACAAACCCACTACCATTACAGTATGCTCCTCACTTAGTGACGAATTTGTTTACCAACATGGTCTTAGGAATGGAACTCCGTCATTAAGTGAGAAGCTGTAGTAACACAGCATAAATTTGCACAGTAATTCTGTGCATTCACAGTGTTGCAGAGACACACAATAGTACAATATGTAGATGCAACCTAGGATAACAAAATAATGTTAGTGAATCTTATTTCCATTGGGACCTTAACAATAAATAGGTTATTTTAATTTGGTATAAAAGGCATAATAAGATAGTGAGAGGCATTGACCTATAGGATACCGGGAGGCGATGACCTATAGGATACTGGGAGGTGATTACCTACAGGATACTGGGAGGCAATGACCTATAGGATACTGGGAGGCGATAACCTACAGGATACTGGGAGGCGATGACCTATAGGATACTGGGAGGCGATGACCTATAGGATACTGGGAGGCGATGACCTATAGGATACTGGGAGGCGAGAGTGACCCAGAGAATACCAGATATAAATGAGATTAAAATAGAAAGCACAGACAAGAAAGAAATGAAGGACAATGACTTATGTGGTGAGGAAGGAGAGTGTAGTGAAGGATACTACTCACCAGCGAGTGAAGATGTTAGAGCTGTACATAATGGTTGTATACATGATGGTAGGGATGATGGGGGTGACCCATGGGCCCCCACACCACCGCTCACACCACCTGAAAGTCAAAAGACAAATTAAAACACTGCAAACACAAAAGTGTAGTAGGCTAACCTAACTTTCGATGTATACTGATTAATTTAGTCAAAAATCTAAAGACCTTGTCCCAGTAGTTTAGCTGTGTACAGATCACCACAAACCAACATAAACAACATTAGTGACAATCTTAAAGACCTCATCACTAATAATAAACTATAGTATATTACTAGAAGATTCACAAATAACTGGTTTTGTAAACAATATGTATAACTGCTTACCCATACCATCAATAACCAAACCCACAAGAATTACCAAGACAAAATCACTTTCACTCAACCACATTTGGATAAAAATATATTTGCTCCTCTACAGTCTGGCTAGTGCCAGATAAAACAGCTGGTCACTACACCACCTTCCTGGTCACCAATATAACTAAATTAATAACAAAAAAAGGCACAATACCGTGACTGGAACGATACACAAATAACCCGCACATAGAAGAGAGGAGCTTACGACGACGTTTCGGTCCGACTTGGACCATTTACAAAGTCACACTAACCAGAAGTGGAGCAGGACGGCTATATATAGCCGTCCTGCTCTACTTCTGGTTAGTGTGACTTTGTAAATGGTCCAAGTCGGACCAAGACGTCATCGTAAGCTCCTCTCTTCTATGTGCGGGTTATTTGTGTAACTAAATTAATGTTTCACACTAATAAAATCTATTTCAGGCTCCATGACAAGGCCTCAGTAATTAACTTTATCATAGCAATTAAGAACATTGTTTAGTTTATTAGTTTTATTATGCACCCCATACCCATCTTGTGGGCACTAGTTAAAATGATAGAGTCTAAGGACTGAGCTCCTCACTTAGTGATGAATTTGTTTACCGACGTGGTCTTAGGAACGAAACTCCATCGTTAAGTGAGGAGAGGCTGTACTGTACAGTATATAATTAGGGAAACTGACATGTATGAACTATTATATAGAAAGTCCCTTGTTATACAAGGCATTTCAGGTTGCCTTAAAACTAACTTACAATTACGTACTAGATAATGAGACACACATAGTACATAAGAACAAGAGTACTTAGTGTATGTATATTGAAGGTATTCAACACTTCAATAAAAAACTGTAATTAAAGATACTTTAAGAATGAAGCTAGGTATCTGAAGTGATAAAAACAGTCCGTCTAGTAACAGATGAGAGTTTATAACGGCACAAAACATACTCAACCCCTGCCAATTTGGATTCAGGAAAAATAAAAGCACTAACGATGCAATCATAAAAATACTAGATCTGCTTTACACAGCATTGGAAAATAAGGAATATCCACTAGGAATTTTTATTGACCTAAGAAAAGCTTTTGACACAGTAGACCATGGCATCCTACTCCACAAACTTGACCATTATGGTATAAACCTCCCTTTTCAAACCTTTTTTAAAAAATTTGTTTTAAAAAAACCAGCAAAACCACCTTAACAATTCCCAAAAAGGCGGTTGTTTTCAAACTAAATCCCCCGACCAACCCCCCCCCCCCCCAACACATTTATTAACCCCTAAACTTACCCCCCGTTGGGGAACATCAAAATAACGGGGTGCAAATAAACTTATGCCTTAACCTGACAAAACCCTTTCTTATTTTTGGTAAAAACGGGGAACCAAAAAAAAAGGAACAACATCAAGCCACAAAAAAAATTTCCTTTGGCATTCCCCTGTTCGACTAAACCCCTAAAAAAAAAGTATTAAAGGGGCCCTAAAATGAAAACTAGAAAAATCTTCTCACACTTTTTCCCTTCACTTAAAATCCATAACTCTTATTTTCGGGGGTAAAAACCGCAAAATAAACCAATTCCCAACCCGGTGGTAATCAAAAAATCCCATTTCCCCCCCCCCCCCAAAACAAAAAATTACCCCCTTTCATCCCCCAAATTAATTTGTCAACTACATTGGGACTTAACCCTTCCAAAAATTTTTGATAGTTGTGAAAACCCCCCGGGCCAAACATAAAACCACAAACATTTTTGCATTCCCCTTAAAAACCTTTAAAAAAATTATTTGAAAAAATTAAACCCCCTTAAAATTTTAAAAACTGCGAAATTTCTACCTTCCAAATGTTTTTTGGGAAAACCCCCCGTAATTAATTAAAAACCCCTTTTACATTAACCACCCCCCCAATAAAAAAAATTCTTAAAACTCAAAATTGAATCTTAAGAAAATTTTGGATTGATTTTATGAAGTAGTATGGAAAAAAAAGTTTTCCATTTAAAAATAAAACAGTTTTCAGGTTTTATCAAAAATTTAAATTTTGTAAATTTTAAAATTTTTTTTAAGGGGAAAAGTGCCATTTGGCTTGGGGATTGTAATTTTTTTTTTTAAACCAGAAACCACCCCCAATACCCAAAACTGAAACAGTTTGAATCCTAATAAAAATAACTTTGATTGTTTTGGGGGAAATTGGAAAAAAGGGGAAATATTAAAAAAAGGGGTTTGGGTTTAAGGAAAATTTTTGTAAATCCTTAAAGGAAAGGGTGTTTTTGAGGTTTTGGGGGGGTTTTTTTTTTGGCCGGGGAAAAGTTTTAAAAAGAAAGGGGCCTATCTTGGCCCCCTTGCCAAACTGCAGGGGTTTTGAGATATTTTGAGGGTTTGATTAGAAAAAAAAGTAAACCCTAATTTTTATTTTTGGAAAAATTTTTGGATTATTATAAAGGCCTGGTTTAAAAAAAGGGTGTGGTTTTCATTTTTTTCGGGTCCTTTTGAAAAATCTGCATTATAATTGTTTTCCTTTTTTTGGGTTTGAAAATGGGGGGTTGGAAAACAAGGGGGAAAAAAGAGTTCTCTGGGAAATTTTGGTTTTGGATAACATGGCAAGTTTTTTGGGGTTGGTTTTTTTGGGGGTTTTTTCCCCAAATTAGGGGGGTTTTGGGGGGCCACTTCGGGGAGTTTGGTTTAAAATTTTTTGTTTTTTAATTTTGGGGGGGAAACCCATAGGTTTCTGAGCAAGTTTCAACATTTTTTTGTTTGTTTTTATTTTTTATTATCGAGCCCTGGTAATTTATTAACCCCCAAAAGGGAGGGAAAAACCCCAAAAGGGTAGCCAAATCTGGATCGTATGGGGTTTGGTCTTTTTTCCCAAACCTTTTTTTTTGGTTGGCTGTTTATACGAGGCCCTTTTGAAATTTTTTTGAAAAATAAAAACAAAAATTTTTAAAAGAAAACTGGGGGGTTTTTTTTTTATCCTACTTTTTTTGGAAAGCTTTTTTGTTATTCCAAACTGTTTGAAAAGGGATGTTATCAAAAATACGTACCCTGTATCTTTTCCTATGTAGACTGTGTGCTATCAAACTTGTAGCACTGTATCAAATACTGTACACTGTTTTTTCCCAACTACTGTAGCACTGTTTATCAAAACACTGTAGCAGTTATCACAACTACTGTAGCATGATCTATCACAACTATGAAAGCACTGTTTCACAATATGTAGACTGTTTATCAAATACTGTAGATGTTTTTCTATCACAATCTGTAGCATGTATTATCACAAATCTGTAGCATGTATACTATCACAATACTGTAGCATTTTCTATCCAATTGTAGCATGTTGTTATCACAAATGCTGTAGCACTGTTCTATCAATTCTGTAGCATGTTATCAAACTCGTAGCAGTTTTTCCCAAATCTGTAGCCTGTTATTTCACAATACTGTCCCTTGTATTTATCACAATACGAGCCTGTTTCCAAATCTGTAGACTGTTCTTAAAACCTTTGCATTTTAACTATCCCCTATGTACCCTGTTATCAAAACTACTGTGCACTGTTCTTCAAAATCTGTGCATGTATACTACCAACTACTGTAGCACTGTATGTTATCACAACTATGTAGCATGTTCTTCCAACTACTGTAGCACTTTTTCTATCACAACTATGTCCCACTGTATTTTCAAATTTTCCTGTAGCACTGTTTCCAATACTTTTGAACTGTTGCTATCACAATCGTAGCCTGTATACTATCACAAATACTGTAGCACTGTATAAAAAACTACTGTAGCACTGTTCTATCACAACTCTGTGCCTGTTTATCAAACTCGTGACTGTATTATCAAATATGTGCATTTTATTTAAAAAACTGTGATGTTCTTCAAAAACTCTGTAGAGTATACATAAACTCGTAGCATGTATTATCACAATACGTAGATGTTACTATCAAATACGTGACTGTTTCTATCACAATACTGTAGCCCTGTATAACACAAACTACTGTAGCACTGTATCTTCACAATTGTAGCACTGTATATTCAAAATATGTAGCCTGTATTTTTCAAAATTTTTACTGTTTTATAAATTTAGCACTGTTTTTTCACAATATGTGCACTTTTGTTTCACAATGGTAGCACTGTTATCACAACTCTGTAGACTGTTGTATAAATCTGAAACCCTGTTATATCAAAACTACTGTGCATGTTGTTATCACAATCTGTAGCACTGTTACTATCACAAATACTGTAGCACTGTTTTGTTATCACAATACTGTGCATGTATTATAAAATATGGCATGTATCTATCAAACTACTTTTGCACTGATTTTCCCTTACGTAGCACTGTATACTATCAAAAATTTTGTGCATGTATCTATCACAATACTGTACCCTGTTTACTATCAAACTACTGTGCACTGTTCTATCCAACTAGTGCATGTATACTTACAACTACTGTAGCACTGTATGTTCACAACTACTGTAGCATGTATATATCACAACAGTGATGTTGTTATCACAATATGTAGCATGTTTTCTACCCAAACATTTACATTTGTTAAAAAATTTGTATGCTATCACAACTACTGTAGCATGTTGTTTATAAAAACATTAGACTGTGTGCTATCACAAACTTTAGCACTGTTGTTAAAAATAGTGCATGTATCATCACAACTACGTGCAGTTTTAATCACAACTCTGTAGCCTGTTTCTTCACAATACTGTAGACGTATACTATCACAACTACTGTAGCACGTTATATCAAAACT